TTTAGCTAGATCCCTCTTTAAGTTTCTAAATGGATGTTGCTTTCTCGGTTTTCAATTCTCTGCGATCCAATACTACAATCGACTGCCCAACTCAAAAGCCTTAGACATGGTAGATTTTTCCTTGAACACTTGCCCAACCAGCCTCTGAGGTCATTCAAGATTTCTCTCTGAACACTTGCCCAACTCGCCTCTAGAGTTGTTCAAACAAGCGATCATCCAGCCCGACGATTTTAATCATGATGGATTTGTCTTCAACAGTTGCCCAACCCACCATTGAGGTCGTTCAAACAAATTATCATCTAGGCCGAAGGCTTTAATCATGATTGATTTGTTTTCAACAAATTTTATTATATCAGATTATTCTATGATATTAAACTGAGGAAGTGATTTAGTTGTATAAAACGACTATGCTATTTGAAAGATATTTACAATCAACTAACATTTAACTCTAATATAAAAGTTTACTTCGCTTTTTTAAATGAAATAAAAATTGTTATTGATTTGTTTCGCAATCGTTATTCTTAAAAATATAATTATTTACACCAACTTCAGTTAAAATGATCCATAAAAAAGTTTTTATTTTCAATAATAGTATGCGGTTATTAAAATTATCATAGACATATTCATTTGGGACGATAAGAGTCATATCATTCACACTGGTATAACAATTTATCTTTATGCCCTCTTTTTTTTATCATGTTTAATATTTTATAATAACATAAGTATTTGAATAATCGCTAGCATAACAGATTGTATGAAGAAGACAAATCTAACATTATTTAGTCAGAAAGATATAAAAAAATATAATTAAAAATAAAATAAAAGCTATTATCGATGTTTCCACAGTGAACCTTGTTCCCCATAAATATCAATTCAAAACATGTTGAACTTAAGTGACAGACTCACTCGCTTCGAATAATGACAAAAAGAAATCTTCGACCCAAGAAGACCCAAGAAGGGGTGTAGTCCCTTTCTTGGGGAAGGATCTAGAAAAATATACTGAGGGGACAATATTAGTTTCAATATATTGCAGGCGGCTAGGTTGTCTGGCAGGAGAAGGCTGTAATGGAAAAGGGACGGTCAACAGCCGAATGAGAGCGGACGACGCTGATGAGCCTGGACGACGAACCAGAGACAACAACGTAGACAGTGGCATGTTGGAGCCGTGGGAGAAAAAAATGGGTTGATGGAGGAAGACGGTGACAACTGTGAATCGGCAGTGACGATGGCTGTCATGAACGGCCGCGGCTGACATCAGAGTTGGGCAGAGTGGCAAATGGCGGTGGTTGGTGAAGGCTGATGGTTGCGGTTGACGTCGACCGATTTCTGCGGTTGCAGTCGGGGAGAGAGTAAGATGACGTGGATGGTAGGTGGTGTAGGGATGGGCGGGACCCACTTGTGAGTGGAAAGGTAGTGTTAGATGTCCATTTTGTCCTTACTAAGTGGTAAAATGTATACATTTGAGCATGAAATATACACTTATTTACGTAATTGCCACCACATGTTTGAATGCATATTTAAATTTTGACATGATCATGATCATTGATATCTTAGATCAAACGATACATATTTATTCTCATTTCTTTCATTATCTACCATTCTTATATGAATTCAACTATATATATACACACACACGTTGTTAGTAATTATTTTATGACTTAGATTATCCTTTGAGAATGTACTATAATTTTCTTATGTTGTAGGAAATACTTGATTAATCTTCTAATAGATATAACAATCGTGGTATAAATAAATTTGTACTTAATTGTATATTTTCAATCATAAAGTGATAGTTTAAAAACTAAATATGTGTAAGATAATATATTTTATTAGGTTATATACTTTTCATATTAGAATTATTAATTTAAAATAATAAGGATAAAATGTAAAAAACTCTACTCTACACCATAGTAGAATAAATTATATAAACTAAAAGTTTCATAATTAGCATTTTGCTAAAAAATAATCAAAATAATTTTTCCATAAAACAAAGAAATTGAAACGAGTTTTTTTTTTTTTTTTTTTCCAATAGCTTTTTTAATTATGCCCCAATCTTCCTCCACAAGGAAAGAAATCTAAACCATAATCCTTTTAGGAATAGTACAGTACTCTTCGCCTCTCACATTAATAATAATAATAAATACACACACAGCAGCACAATTTGGGAAACGAAAAAATAAAATAAAAAAAAAAGAAGCAAATACATCGATATCAAGCAATGAAATCAGCGATGATGGCTGAGACGCCGATAATTGTCCGGCAAGTTTACGAGTACAACGCGGATAAAGAATTCCAGCTAATCCAGCAGTGCCTCCCCTTCTTCCCTTTGGCCGCCCTCGACACCGAGTTCCCGGGCACCATCTACCACCCACCAGACGGCCTCGTCCCCGGCCACCTCCTCCCCCCCGCCGCCTTCTACTCCCTTATGAAGAAAAACATCGACGCCCTTAACCTCATCCAGATCGGCCTCACCCTCTCCGACGCCGCCGGCAACCTCCCCTCCCTCGGCACCCACCACCGCTACATCTGGCAGTTCAATTTATGCGACTTCGACCGCCACTTCCACCCCCACGACCCCAAATCCATATCCCTCCTCCAGCGCCAGGGCATCGATTTCGACACGAACAGACTCGCCGGCATCCACTCCATCGACTTTGGCAACCGCTTCTGGTCTTCGGGCCTCGCCGACAGGTCCTTCGGGCCCGTCTCCTGGATTACCTTCCACGGGCCCTACGATTTGGGCTTCCTCATCAAGGCCCTGTCCGGTGGGCAGAGGCTGCCGGAGAACTTGCACGGGTTCTTGCACCTGGTGAGCACCTGCTTCGGGACTCGCGTGTACGACGTGAAGAGCATGATTGGGTCATTTGGGCTGCACGGCGGGCTGGAAAGGGTGGCCAAGAGCCTCAACTTGGGCCGGGCTGCCGGGAGGAGCCACCAGGCGGGTTCGGACAGCCTGCTCACGATGCACGTGTTTCTGGAGCTGAGGAGAAGGTTGTTGGAGGCTGATGATGATCGTGATAGTAAAAAATGGTTGAACCATTCTGTTTATGGTCTCGGCCATAGTGGGTTGGCTTCTCCATCTTGTTTTCGTAGACTTATGTTGGAATTTGTATAATTTGTTTGAATCCCATTTCAAAGTCATGTACTCGATCGTATATTTTGTTTTTCTTCTATTCAATCACATTTGAAAAAAGTGTACTGGGTCGAATTTGACAACTTAATGTCTATTATCACAGTTGTGTGGCTATGGATACTAATATATGTTTTCGGCATTGCATTGCTCAAGAGTTGTTATATAGATGCTAACATTAGAGACAACGTACGAGAATTTCAATGAATTGAAAGTTAAGATGCAACGACAGTTGTGACGTAAATGTGTGCCGATTATCTAATCTGGTCTTCGGTTTGATGGAGATTGAACTAGTGCAGTTTCATGGCCTAATGGAGATTAGTCCTTGGGCTTTAGCTCAATGGATGTATGTTACAAACAGAGAATAAGAAGATTTTGTGACTACTGGTCTAGTTAAATGAATTAGAGCAGTGACCCCAATATAATAATTAAGCAGAAGTTAAGCATATACTATAAATGTGGCAACTGAATATACATGACTTCGTAAATTGCATTGCCTTAGTTTTTTGTTAACAGTATGCAACCCAATGTGATCTATACTTTCCTAGCTTGACAAATGTCGGTAGTTAAAGTAATAACTAAACAAAGATTTGCGTTGCACATGAACAGGGCTGCAGACGAGCCGAACTGAGTCGAGCATTGGCGTTATCGAACAAGATTGAGTTTTTTTTTTTTAGCTGCTCGAGTTCGTCGAGCTCGACTCGATAAAAAATTGCAATAGCTCGAGCTCGACTCAAAATCAAAATGCTCGAGTTCGGCTCGAAAATTTTTAAGTGGAAAGGTAAATTTACCATTAAACACCTATGCTAACATATATAATAAGGGGTATTTTAGTAATTTAACTGTCGAGCGGCTCGACAAGGCAAAATATGGGCAAAATATCAACATGTAATTGTTTTTATATCACATGTTTAAAAAACTTGGATACTGATTCTCTTAAATGGAAGCACATTTGTTAATAATCAACAAACCCAAAATGGAATAAGAAATCTATCATTTCCCATACACAACTTTCACAAAACGTCTCCAGATGTTATATAAAGGGGCATAATCATCCTCGAACAAAAAGAAGATGAAAAGATGGGGAAGAAAATGCAAAACAAATGCAACCCTTTAGCACACCCCAAAATTTTTCTTGTTGTATTCTTAACATTGTCGTTTTCGTTTTGTCAATCGCACGATTATGGAGAAGCTCTCTCCAAGAGCCTCCTCTACTTTGAGGCCCAACGATCGGGCCACCTACCATACAACCAAAGAGTCACTTGGCGACACCACTCTGGCCTCACAGACGGCCTTGAACAAGGGGTTTGTTCATTTATATATAGGAAATAACATATCACCTCAAGTTGTATTCTGCCAAAAAGCGAAAAACAACAATTAACCTCAACTTTTTGGGGGCCAAAAGAAGTATATTTTAACCATTAACTATATACACATATATGCATAAGTGTCTCATACTTACGTTTAGCCATATGAAACTAACAAAGATGGTATCGATTTCTTTTATAACGCTGGCTCGGGTGACTCGTATTTTTTTTTCAATACTGAATGTTATGGTGTATATGTAAATATGCATAGGTGGACTTGGTGGGGGGCTATTATGATGCTGGCGACAATGTAAAGTTCGGTCTGCCGATGGCTTATACTATTACACTGCTTTCTTGGGGTGTCATTGAGTTCAAAAATGAAATAGCTTTAGCAGGTGAACTCAATCATGCCCTTGAATCCATCAAATGGGGAACTGATTATTTCATCAAAGCACACACTCATCCTCATCTTCTCTGGGCTCAGGTAAAATCCTCTAGCATAGCAAAAACTTTACGAAAAAAGAAACTCGATCGTAACATGTACAAGACAATCGTATTAACTCTCAAATGCAAATTAGATACAATCTCGATTATATGGTAAATTTTTCTACGCACGTGAGTATGATGTATATAATGTGAAATGCAATGGGAGTCGCCATTTGCAATAAAAGATCTCATCCAAATCATTATTGAATGTCAATTTTCCATGATGCACTTGGCAAAATAAGTAAGGGAAATAAACGTAATAAATAACAAATTGTAATTACGTGATTCAAGGTGGGTGATGGGGACACAGATCATCTATGTTGGCAGCGACCGGAGGACATGACGACTTCCCGACGTGCTTACAAGGTTGACGAGGAACATCCTGGATCTGAGGTGGCAGCTGAGACAGCGGCAGCCATGGCCGCCACCTCTATTGTATTCAGGAGAAAAGATCCACGTTACTCACACCTTCTCTTGGACCATGCTGAGCAAGTAAAATTTAATTATTTTAGGTTCTAACTGTAAGACAACAATATAGAATTATTAGTGTAAATGTGGTGATCTTTATGTCTACCTCTAATTATACTATGGAAGTTACAACAATAAAGGAAATTAAACTGTGAAAAATGCAAATATATGATTCGGCTGCAGCTATTCGAGTTCGGAGACAAATTTAGAGGCAAATACGACACGAGCATTAAGGTTGCAAGAAGATACTACACATCGATAAGTGGATACAAGGATGAGTTGTTATGGGCTGCCCTGTGGCTGTATAAGGCAACGTACAACATAACCTACTTGGATTATGCCATTCAAAATGCCGAGGCCTTTGGCGGGAGCACTTGGGCCATCACTGAATTCAGTTGGGATGTTAAGTTTGCCGGCGCCCAAATTTTAGCATCCATGGTAATAATTCAATAATGCTGCATCTCTTTCTCCCTCAAAAGATTGTAATATCCAAAATCATGCAGGTGCCTATGAAAGGAAAGGTGGAAAGCGATAGGCAAGTCTTGCACGAGTATCGCTCGAAAGCTGAGCACTACATGTGTGGGTGCCTCAACAAAAACAAGGCTACAAATGTGAAGAGGACCCCGGGTGGGCTCCTCTACACTCGTCGGTGGAACAATATGCAATATGTCGCTACCTCGATCCTCCTGCTCGCAGCCTACTCCAACCATCTCCGATCCACCGGAGGAGTGCTGGACTGTTACGCGGGCCCTGTGGGCCCAGACGAGATTCTAGCCTTTGTGAGATCCCAAGTAGACTACATCCTGGGATCCAACCCCATGGGCTTGAGCTACCTCGTTGGATACGGGCCTGCATACCCAACCAAGGTGCACCACAGAGGCGCATCCATCGTGTCGCATAAGGAGAGCAGTGATTTCGTAGGGTGCATGCCAGGGTACCATCGTTGGTTCGTGTCACCCAGCCCAAACCCAAATTTGCTCGTTGGGGCTTTGGTGGGTGGGCCAGATTCGGAGGACGGGTTTAGGGATAGGAGGGATAATTTTGCACAAACAGAGGCATGCACGTATAATACTGCACCGTTGGTTGGGGTTTTTGCTAAGTTCCACGCGGCTGAAAAGGGTGGTTTTAATTCCACCGGTTATTCTAATCGACCATCCATCTTCTACATGAGAAGAGGACTACAAGTTGATGTAATTTGAAAGGGTTTTTTTTGGTCAAAACTCGGGTATAAAAATATACGGATAGGATGAAATAAAGCATGAGTTAATCCATCGTTAAACCATCTTTGTGGGTCATTTTCGTTTCACTACATGTTGTATCAGGATTCCATATATGACACTCAAAAACGGGATGGTAATATCACTGGTAGGTAATGGCATTATAGGACAAAAATGGAAAAGGACCATTCTACCAAAATTAGAACCTAGTTCTGTGAATTTACAAGACTTCACAGCTATAGAAGAAGAAGTTAGTCCAGTCTATGAAAGCGAAAGGAACCAACAACCTGATAACAACTTGATAGTGATGAAACATAAGAAATATGAGCAAAAAGAAATATTGAACCAAGCAAAGTAAATAACCAAAGTACCATGTCTGGAATTCTTAAAAACGCGCAAAGATTTTCAAAATTTTCAAATCATAATACAAGAATAATTTTTTCAAATACGGTAGCTTCGAAGAGTTAAAAAGACTCGGGATTTCTTTTGGTTCCACATAGCCCAGCACTTCAATCTCTTCCTTTTGACATTCAAGTCCATCTGTTGACAGAGATGGCTTATTCCTTCAAGCTGCTTTGAGAGATTTGATATCAACTTGAAGCATGATGTTAACATGATGACATTGAAATCAAAGGTTATAGAAAATGATTAATATATATTACATTAGCCAAATGTATATAGTGCAAAAAAAGAACAAATATATTATTAATCTGTACTCTAACTGAATACAAAAAATCAAGTTCTAATTCAAGACATTAACCATAAAAACAGAACACAAGACTAATAACAATTTTCACTCCCTTCCAATGTTGAACTATGGAGAACTGCTATTCGACTCAATATCTTCACATAGAGACTTCCCTTGACCTTCTCCTACTTTTTTCACATGTCGACAACCACATTTCGTACTCTCCAAGAAACAAATATACTAAGTGCTCATCGAGGCATCTAGCACATATCAAACTCAACATTCCCAAAAAGTAAAATCTCCAAGATTTGAAATCCCAACTCCCATCCCTATAATTTCAATTATTGTTTACACGTTGATCTTTCATATCATTTGGATAAATAGCCAATCCCAGAGCATACTCTCAATTGCATAGAACAAGAACAACCAACCATCAAAGTATGACTATCAATTAGAATGATTAGATTACTGATAGGGAATGGGACTTATTAAAACATACATCAACTTTGAAGCCAATGTAAGACTACATACTCAAACCACTTAATTTTAGTCTCAGACAAGAAAACGCAGCAAGGAAAATTCGAAATTCTATTCAGTTTTTATGTTTTTCACCACATAACTTAAGTAAGCTGAAATAAATCCATTCGATAAAATCGGAGCAATCAAGCCTTAAAATTCACTAGCAGGAGGTTGATGGTGATCGACAACCAATGGCGGGCGCAGGGCCCGATCCTTAGCCTCTTTCTCCTTCCGAGCATCGTACATTTCCTCCGTCTCAACCACCACCAATCTCTTCACCTGAAATCCCATTAAAAGAACCATTTTTTTTTTGGAGAAAACGAAGGAAAATGAGAAGTTGGAGAAGGAGATATAACCTGCTGAAGCATTCCCCGGAGAGAGGGAGTGTTGGTGTGGGTGACAGTACGGTTGCACTTGGTTAGGCGCAAGGCCTCCAACGTGCGGCGGTGGAGCCTCCTTGTTCCCGGGATTCCCCTCACCAGCGTTATGTACAGATTAGGGCTCCACGCAACAGGAACATTCGCTTTGAATGCTCTGAAAGCACTCATTTCTGGGATTAGATTTTGATTTGTTGCGATTTTTGTTCGTCCCAATCGAACAACAAAGAAGAGAACAGCTGGTTTGATGATGAACTGTGCAGAGAGAGGGAGAGCGAGAATCGCTGCACAGAACGGAATCAGGGGTTTGGAAAGGGTTTTACGATTGGCAAAACGACGTCGTGTTTGTTTCATCAGATACAACTTGGGCTGTGTTTTGTCGTTTATGGGCTGGACATATAAGTACAAGGTATTGGCCTGTGTTGGGTGCAACTCGTGTAATTAAGCTCAATGAGCCCAGCCAAGAACTGGAATTCTCATGGTAAAATTACGTACATGGACTCCTGTTTAGAGATACTAGTATTCGACCCTGTGCACTTGCACAAATGTAAATAAAGTATTGTGAGTGATTTTTATGCATATAATGATTAATTATTTCTCTTTCACCTTTTTGCTGTTCAAATTTACAATTAAAGGAGTTGGAATATTTTTTTTTTAAAAAAAAAATTTACATTTATATAATTGGATGTAATGTATATTTTGGTACATCTTTTTTTTTTGTGAATTAGTTATTATTTATTTAGGAATTTCAAATACGTTTTTTATTTTAAAAAAATTAATTTAATGTAACCACAATAATAACATCTCATCACAGTATACGGTCAACACATTATATGATCAACTGTCAGTAATCAAAAGTTTAAAATGATTTTTGTAATTTTAAAGTGATTAGTGTTGATTAATTAATAATTAAATGAAAGATTAAATTCATCAAAAGTAACAGTTTTTGGAGGGAAAATGGTTAAATTGCCACATAGGTAAAATTAAATAAGTTTTATTAAATGCTATTAGCTAGTAATTATATATATATAGATTTACATATATACCATCCTTGCAACCCTTGCAAACATTAATCAAAATAGGAGTAATAAGTGATTTTTATTTTATTTGTACGAGACTGATTTATATCAGAAGATCCTTTTTTTCTCTCTTCATATATCCTTGTAAACATTAATCATGAGATCTCTCTCTCTCTCCATATATTCATCTAAAAAATTACGGCATTGGCGAAGGGAAGACAACCCACCTCTTAATCCGAACGATGATGAAGACGCTACAAGGTATAGTTCTAGAACACGTACAACAACCGGTAATCAATTGTCCCCATGGAAGATCGTCCAAAAAATGCTTCAATTTCACAAAAGTTCGGCTCGCATCATTCCCGTCTCCTTCAAGTGTTTCCTTGTCCTCAAGGACGAAATTCGGGAATTGATCATGCATCTCATCTAGATCCTCCCATGTGGCTTCTTCTGGTGGCAACTCTTCCCACTCAACTAAAACTTCCCAACGATAGCGACCTGCTTCCTCACTTGGCGATATTCAATCGCTCGACTACAAGAAGTTCGAAGAAGCAGAAATTCGAGACGCCTATTTAATTTCACAAAAGTTGCGGGACGACGAATTTATGTATGAATGGGACGATGAAGAACAAAGAATTATCAGACGAGTCCTCGAGTATATATTAAAAAAAAAGAACTTCAGATTCTCGACAAGAGTTGGATCCCAAAATTTGGATTGATTTTTCTGGTGTTGTTTATATGTTATTTATCTTATATATAACTGCATTCTATTTGAACTTTGAAGTCATTAAAAATTGTGTAATATATTTTATCCCGTATCATAATTGTTTATATGTTGTTTATCTAATGTATAACTACACACTTAATATTCGATGACTGTCAGATCATGTTTATCTAAAGTATATATACAATATATCTATATATATGTTTGATGGGTATTAGATCAGAGCGAGTTATTCTTGCTTCTTCTTCAACTTTGGAGGGTTTGGTTTCAGTTTTATTTTGCTTTGCCATTTTTCTTCTCCGCCGAGATAAAGCTTTTGTTTTTTGTATGAGAGATGAAGTTTTTTTTGGGGGGAGGGATGAAGTTCTATGCACTACACCCCGAGATATGGAGAGAGAAATGATGATTTCTTTTCTTTTTCTTTTTATTCGGTTGAGGGTAAAGATCAAGAGAAAATCACGTTTTTTGAAAAATCATGTAAGTGGATTTTAATTGTGTGTAGTTTGGTTATTTTTAAAACTAACACCAATATCGGACTTAATTATATATAATTAAATGCACTTAGCGATTAATCAAGCCAAACTTAACCTAAATAAATATTAGTTTAATTATTAAAAAACGTAATTGTGATGAAAATTTTGTGAGATCGTAAATTTGAAATTTTGTGAGATCGTAAATTTGAAATTATTTAGGGGATGGAATGTAAGGGGGGTAAATTTTTCAAATTTTCATTTTTTCTATTTCAATTCGGCATAAAAAAGTTAATACTAATTTTTTTTTTTAAAGGCGAAATGACATAAACATAGAAAGTCAAAAACTAATTTGCAAATTAAAAGAAAACAAACAAAGTTGAAAAAAAAAAAAAAAACATTTGCTCATCTATGCAGAACAATTGTCATAGAGACAAAAATCATTCGTGCTCCATAAATAACGCTAATATTCCATTCATCCTATTTCCATATTATTTTAAAAAACATAACACAGGTTGCTTCTTTGCTCATAACCGGAGAAAGTAAACTAGAAGACTAATTGATATAGCGCAGCGTTAACAACAGGGACAAGAGAAAACAAATCTCAAAATTTATTATGTTTATTCAAAGCCGATCGATTAGATGAAGAAGAAGAGATGTATAGATCTTAATAGAGTACTAAAACTTCTTTCTTTCATATCTTGCCTACCAAGTAATAACTATACTAGATATTAAATATATTCTTGCCGACTAAATAATAAAGCATAAAAGAAATATTATTAAACGGAATTTGAATAAGGTAATAAACTCTAGAGCCCGAGCCGATCGTATTTATGTAAATAGGCTAGAGCGATCTCGTCTCCATCATCCTCCCCCAGTTAAGAATGATTCGCCCTCGAATCCGAATTGATCTCGTCTCCGTCGGAGAAGTCGCCGAAGCAGAGCACCAAATGCTTGACGTGGAAAACGTCATAAGTATGGGTGTGCGAAGGTAGTCGGAGCCAGTAGCCATCGGGATTGATCTTCTCGAGGATCTCGATCAGGCCAAATTATTATCATAATATTTAATTATTATTTATTATAATATTTATTTTATATAATGTCATTATTATTATTTATAAAAGTTACAAAAGTAGTCTTTTTTTCTTAGTTATGTAATAAAATTTAAAATAATATTTTGTGTATAATTGTTTATAAAATACACACATGTTTTATAGAATTTATTTTCTCATAATAATTAAAAAAGTTGAGTTAGCAATTGCCAATTAATAAACCCTTATATAATCAAGAGATTTTTGTAATTTGCATCATAAGACTTTATAGTTTATTTAATATACTACGGAATATAAATATATATTTTACAATAAATTCATCATGGGAAAAAATAAAAAAAAAATGATAAAAATTTATTATGGTTGACAATAATATACGGATAAATCACATGTTGAAATTGTAAAAATAGTCAATTTAAATTAATTTTATCATCTAGTCATTAATAAAATTATTTAATGATGTGATCATTATTTCTTAAATGGTAAATTATTTTAATTTGAAATAATTACTTATTTTTATATAATTAAATAAAGGTAAAATATATTATCGGAAAATATTAATTCACTAACTTGATTTCACTTAATTAGTACGTACCCCGTGCGATGCGCGGGACAATGATATTAAAAGAGTTATTTTCATATGCTCTGTCCATTTAAGTCTAAAAGTCAATAGAGTTATCATCTATTTTTTACTTCTTTTAATCAACGTTAAGTCTAAAACATAAAAGGGTTATATCCACCTCTTCTAATCAGCGTTATTTTTTAGTCAGAACATTAAATATGAGTATGTTAGAGATAACATGTAAAATAATTAATATATTATCTCAGTATCACATTTATACAAATATAAATTTGATGTTAGTATATATATTTATTAGCTGATATAAGAGGAAATAACAGTTTTACTTATTATTATTCACCATATAATACTTAATTATTATATTATTATAAACTTTGTTGTCATATAATGTCATTAATATTTATAAAAGTTATAGAAGTTGTACGTCTTCTTTTTTTTATATTATGTATTGAAAACTATTTAGTGCACGTTAGTATTATTTATTTATGTAATCAATTTAAAATATGTATATAAATTTAAAATTTGATATTGTATAAATATTTTACAAAATATACGAGAAATTCTATGGTGCCACATGTGGCACCATAGAATTTCTGCAAAATATACACATATGTTTTTTTAGAATTTAATTTTGTAGACTAATTAAACAACTTTGATTTAGCAAATGTCAAAAACTCAGTCCCTTCTAAAATCAAGATTTTTCTAATTTGTACTATAAAGATTTATAGTTTATCTAGCATACTCTGCAATGTAAATATATTTTACAAGAATTTCATTATAGAAAGAAATCAAAATAAAAAAAAAAGTGATAAAAGAATAATAATAGTTGCGAGTAATATACAAATAAATTTTAGAATATTTAAAATATTTCAGTTTATTTTTTGACTATTAGGAAAACTATTTAATGTATATGCTCATTATCTCTTAAATGGTAAATTATATTAATTTGAAGAATAATTTATTTTTTATATATAACGAAATAAAGCTTAAGAAAAAATTATATTGGCAAAGATTAATTGACCAGCTTAATTTCGCCTAATTAACTGGAAGAAAAAAATCTACTAACTTGTTACGGTTTTCCATAAATATTTTTAAATAAAAGGTGAATATTTGTGAAGAAAGCTTGATATTATGGTTAGAACTTAAAATATGTTATAATACTTATATTGACCAAAATATTATCAACATGAATCACGAAAAATCAATCTTGTAATTTATTATAAGGGATATCAATGAAATTATTGCAGATATTAATAAAATTATTTAAGGAAACAATATTTTTTATCATATCTAATTTGATCTTATTTGAAAAAATTGTATATGGAAGCAATTAATGCATATATTTAAAAAAATTCCAAAAAAAGTATGCGTTAAATGCTCGTAAAATGTTCTACTACTATTTTTTAGTAAATGATTACTCTTATTATATAGATTAGTTAGAAGAGAAAATTATTTAACTTGTTACGATTGTTTATAAATTGTTTAGGATGAAAGTCATAATATGGTTAAGACTTATAATTTGTCTTCATGTTTATGCTGACCAAAATATTATCAACATAAATTAAGTAAAATCAAATTATAGTTTATTATAATTGATACCAATAAAATTATTCAAAAAAAGAATCTTTTTTATCATATCTGATTTAAAAATATGTATATGAAAATAATTAATGCATATATTTAAAAAATTTCAAATAAGGTATGCATTAAATGCTCCTATATTTTTTCGCTACTGTTCTTAGTAAATGGTTATTCTTTTTTATATATATAGATAGATAGATATAGATATAGATATAGATGTCAATTTTAGTGGTATTTTTTCATCATAATGGAATTTTGGGAAAATGATAACTACATGCACAACGCAGTTGGTAGTGTCTTGATAACGCAACATTGCATCTACATTGAATTATGCAATTTGGCGTTTGATAAATTGAAAGTAAACTTTTTTTACAAAACGTTTGGATTAAATGTATTAAGATATCCAACTATTTGTATTTATGATGATAGTTTGGATTAAATTTATTAAGATATCCAACTATTTGTATATATGATGATAGAATCCTATAATTTTATATGGAGCTAAAGTTGAGAGAACCCGCTATTACAAAGTTCCCGATATACGCAATTGTTGAACCAGTAATCAACGAACCTTAGGTGTTTAATAGCGATACACCAATCAACAAATACCCTACGACTACAATGTAGCACCTCTAAGATGTATCCATATAAAACATGGTTCAACTAAAGAAGAAAATTCAATGAAACTCGTTCAATTTGCGCTGCAAGCTGCTGAGACAAAGATTGAGACAATTAGGATGTATCCATGTAGAACATGGTTCAACTAATGAAGAAATTTCAATGAAACTCAGTGAATTTGCGTCGCAAGCTGCTGGGACGATGGGTGAGTCGATTAAGTATACAGAAGATAAACATATGATAAACATATGTTATGGTAATTCTGTAAGTATAATCAAATAAACAGTTGGATCAGTTTAACTAAATACCAAAAAATAAATACAAAAACAAGACGAAAAAAAAAGCATAATAGCCTAAAAATAAAACTGGAAAGAGATTTAGATTATGTAAGTATTAAATTTATTGATTTAATCTAAAATAAATTTAATTTATTTTTGGCTAAAATAAGATTCACAAGAGCTAATCGAATATAAAATAAGCTAAAATACTTTTTACTAATACAAATTTAATATCATAAAAATTAAGATCGGACTAGAGCTCATACTAGTTTTTGGGGTGACTCCAATCCAAGGCGCCACGACCAAGCCCGACCATGTAATTTGATGGCGGTTTTGCATTTTGGAAGTCTAACATACCTCTCGGAGGGACCGGTGGCATACCCTTGTGAGCTACAATCGCCCTATAGATGACAAAATGACATGAACCCGAATCGACCCGACCCAACCCAAAGCAGTTCAAATACGCTCGTTTCCGAAAGGCCACATCCGGCCCATTAGCTAAATCATACCCGGCCCGGCCTTATTGTTTTGTTTTGTTTTATTTATATTTTTATATAATAATATAATATTTAATATAATAATGTAGGGCTTTTCGTTAATAGGTAAAACTGTACTGTTGGGTTTTTTCATTTCCATCCGATCTTCATCACCTCCAAACTCAGTTCACGCCGCCGCCCCGTCCTCTCTTTCTCATCTCCAGCTTACGCCGCCCCGCCGGAGAAGAAAAGTGCTCGCACTGCCTCTACCTCGACTCGGAATCTCGGATTGAGACCTCCGCCTCCGCCTCCGCCTCAGCCTCAGCCTCAGCCTCCGCCCTTAGTTGAGTTAAAGGTTTGGGGGAGTTTGATTATTTTGCACTGGTTTGTCGTTTCCCATGAATTGTCAAAGTTTTGTGGTTTGTATTTGTTTAAAAAGATTCTTGCGCAGAACAATTGGGAATACATGTTGGATAAACAATTTCCTGTTCTCTGTCCATTTGACCAAAACAAATTGTGTTCACATATTTTTGCTTCGATCTGATAAAGATTCAATTACAAGGAAAATAGTGGATAATGTATTGTTTGTGGTTTGGGTTTGTGTTTGGTTTTGCTACAGTGCCGATTTCAATTTTGCCCTACACGTGTTTGATAGAATGCCCCAAATGAGTACCGCTACACTACCTTTTAGCAATGAACTTTAACCTTGTATTTAACAGTCCCATTTAGTAACAATTAGCAAACGATTTTCTTTGTGGGCGATAGAATGTGTTCCATTCTGAATTTTCCTTTTTGTTGTAGAGTGAAAAATGAAGAAAGGGATTCATCCTCAGCTGCAATGGATATCATACGTGACCCAAAGTGGCCGCCTGATGAATGTGACAATGACCAAGATTCATCAGGTCGGCAAAGTTTACCATTTCCGGGCGAAGAGACAAATGGCCCAAAGCATCGGCCAAGTCGCCAAATTCAAACGTCGGTATGGACAGAAGGAGAAGGAGGAGGAGCCCGAGAATAAATGAATTCCCTTTGAGATGGCAAATTCAGATTTCAAACTCCCGGTGTTTTCTTTCTATCCTTTTTTCGTGTTTCAGTAGTCGGAACGGTGATTTGTTTGCAATAAATCATTTTTAGTATTATTTGTCTTGTGCTGGAGGATGATGATCCCAGTATACAGTAATGTTAGTGCATCAGATTTATTTACTTCCATTGTCTAATGCTGCATATCGAGAATGTACCCATACTCAAAAACCATGTTGGCCACTATGAATACGCATATCACCCTGATTAACAGTTACTTTGATAATTGACCTATTGTTGTCCTCTTTGGTTGTTGGAGGAACAAAAGCTAAGAAATGACCTATTGTTATCCTCTTTGGTTGTTGGAGGAACAAAAGCTAAGAAATGTGTATGGAGCAGCTGATAAAGGGGATGGTAAGGGAGGGAGGGAGGGAGGGGGAGAGAGAGAGAGATAGAGAGAGAGAGAGAGAGAGAGAGAGAGAGAGAGAGAGAGAGAGAGAGAGAGAGAGAGAGTGTTCTGTTGGGTTAAACGAGCCGGCTTGGGCTCGGCTCGAGTTCGAGGCCTTAACGAGCCGAGCTCGAGCTCATTTAAAGCTCGATTGGTTACCAAGCTTCGTTAAGGCTCGAGCTTGAGGCCTTAACGAACCGAGCTTGAGCTCGAATTTTGGCTCGTCTATTAACGAGCCGAGCTCGAGCTCAAGCTCGAGTACCTTAAGCTCGGGTCAACTTGTTTACAACTCTATCTCGTTAAGACCTCGAGCTCAAGCTTGATTACTTTAAGCTCGAGCCGGCTCGGCTCGTTTGCAACTCTATCTGTACCTATATGATTGTTGCTCAGGTTGTAATATTCATATTTATAACTATACAACAAATGAAGTACTTTTGAAATATTCAAGTTCGGCCACAAATATTTGGAGCTTATTCAACAGTTTGGTGAAGTTGGGTTTGAGTGCTTGATTCCGTGCAGTATCTTTGGGCTATTTTTTTTTTTTTAATATAAATAAAGAGATACAATTATAATGAAAATAACACTAAAAGAATACATTCTCTATTCTCTTTCCCTCTAGTTTTATAACAAAATCATATCCAAATTCCGATCATATTTCACGTTTGTTCACACAAACGTTGATCACTGTCCTCGACTTATCCATCATCAATGGGAAATGACTTGCACGCTCAGCAAAAGAAAAGGAAAAAAAAAAAAAGAACATGGATTCAGAATGACAACAAAGTTGAAGAACAGATTGAAGGGAGTTCATTTCAAAAGTCTCACCAAATGAAGCAACGATTACGACATGGTGTCCTACACGAGCATAAATAATAATCCAACATTAGCACCAGACTGAAGGTAAATACATAATTTGACCAGAGCAACATTATTTAGGCAATAAATCCAACACACAGTGCAATTTGCAGAAACACTAAAAAAATCATGTGCATAAAACAGAAGAAATGCTCCACTACACAGGCACCAAGGCTGGCTGGAGGCCCTTGAGGGCATCTAAGTCTTCACGAGACTCAGACGTCCCATCTGGATCCTCCTCCATAGTAGTAGGACCAACAATTTCCTCCTTCACTTTGCAGCAAATGACTTCAAATATAAGCTCCTTCACTTCTTCGAGCCTCTCCTCGGACAATGAAACCTCAGCTAGGAGCTTCCATGCATTTTCCTCAGACGCCCCTTCATAATCCTCCTTTCGTTTCAGTACCATGTGTCCACTAATCTCCCAAACTGCTGGATTGACTTGAGTGTCGAGTAACTCAGGGCTCACTTCCCCTAGGGCTTGTTTTTCTGCATAGCACTATTCAAACCCAAACGCCCAATGTTAAGATAAAGACACAAATTATGTTGATTATAGAAAGTGCCCTTTAGGTGTATTCGAATTAAAAAGATTCCCAGCTACCTTTAAATAAAATTAAAAATACACTTTTCATATATTTTTCTACTTAACAAAATGAAGCATCAAGTAGTATTGTAACACTTCTGGGGTAGCAGTAAGCCTGATAGATAAATAGTAGATTTCTTTTCAGTTCAATGAGGTCCCGTAAGTAAATTTGTAGTTATCTGGACTATCACCTGTGGGAAGAGGAAAATTCGTTTGCCAGAATCAGCAATGAGCACATTGTAGGGTATGTTGTTCTCCTGCAGGCAAATGCAAGAATCCGAGACAACATTGGACAGATCTTGTAGAGAATTTCCACCCTCGAAAACCAGACCTCTGACTGGATAATTGAGAATATCAGAAATTCTGACCCCACCACCCGTGGTGGTTATCTTCTTGGAAGGGGCCCTCTCAATGGGGAAAGGTGCTGCTAAGTAGTAAGCTTGAAAGTGAAGGTGATTGATGGTGGCAAAAGCACCCAAGCTGTTGTAACCCAATCGGAAGTAGGGATTCCCAGCTTCTTTAGCCATCTGGAGAGCCAGCAAGAAGCTGTCTCGATCAATCCGCTGTGGTAAGCGCTCGAGAATTTGAGGAACAAGCAACACATGTCCGTATTCAATTGGACTAACCTGTGTCAAATCATAAACTAGGCTTTCATCAAACCAAAATTACAAGAGCTCCTTGATATTATGAAGTTAAGAGAGCGTATGCAAGAGTTTCTGCTTATTATGTTCTAAAATAATTGTCATTTCTTTCATAATTTGCACCAAAAGTTTCAAAGATGACAACCACTTGGGGACAGGGGGGTATTGAACTGGAAATAGATTTGTATATGAAAATACGAATCAACACATTTTCTGAAGTAAAAATAATGAAAAAACAATCAAACAATGAATGCATGCTCAAGGACGACTCAAGTGACAACATAATCAGAGACATAGGGCAAAGTGGGACAAAGTATAACATACATTAATGGCAACAACGCTAGGCGAACTCTCTGTATCAATGGGCGCATTTGGAAAGAAGTGAACTTGGTCATCTTCACTGGCCTCAAACTGAAACAGGACCTCCTCTTGCCCGACTTTAGTGAAGTTGAACTTGTTCTCATCAAAGGGCTGAAGGACCTTGTCGACACGAAACTCTGTTGGCCTCTTCTTGAGATGTCTGCCCTCATTCAGCTGCGCAATAAATCCATACTCCCCAGGAATTACCTACACGCCAAGAAACTATTAGGTAGGAAGATTTAAAATTGTTCAAGAATCAGGTTAGGATTGGACATTTGACACTGATGAAATAAAACATATGCAAAAGTAGGTAACATGGAGAAGAAGAAGGACCTTGGTTTCGCAAGCAGTGACATCATAGCGAAAGAGTCCTCTCTTCATGCGATCCTCCCACTACCAACATGCATCATTCACTCAAATCAGAATTTTTCAACACTTAATTTCAGGAAAATAGGGCAGAATGTGGTTCCACAAATATGTTCAACACAAAATTATTACCTCCCCGAGAAGAAGAGAATTCAGAAAGTCCATTGGAGCTTCATTTTTCACGGTTCTAACAAGACTCTTTCCACTAACAACCTCATCCGCCTTCTTAAAGGCATACAATGGCAGCTTCGAACCTAATCCAATTAAAATCCCAGTAAATTTCATGACCCCATCACATGGAAAGCAAGCAAATTCGATTAAATTAAAACAAACAAAACAAACCGCAGAGACAAATCATCAAATACCTGGAAGGCAGCAGCTCCTGAGGCAATTGCGTCCACAGCCAGTCGCTTGGCGAGCCCCAACGTCCTCCGCCTCTTCCTTTTGGTAGTTGGAAACCACAGTAGGAACCCTCTTAATCCTTAGCATCATCTTCAAACTCTCTTTCTCAAACAACAATACCTTTTCGTATAGTTTTTCAGCTCTCTTCAGTCAACAAACCCAAAATAGATTGTAGATCGAATTGCTCGAATACACACACAATAAGCCAAAAGAATTAAACAAAAGATTGATTGAGAATACTAATCTAGGGCAAACTAAACAAGGAAAGAACCGCCGCCGGCGAGGAAGAGGAGGTCGGAGGGGCTGCCGCCTTCGGACGGCAGGGCTCCACGTCCGCCGTGCGGCGAAGGGTTGGTCGCGGTCACACAACACTTGCGTCGGACTGAACGAACATATGTGACAGCGGGTCGTTTCACTCTGAATAAAGCCGTGATTGTGGACAACTCTTCTTCTCCGGGTTCTTAACCCCTCTAGAGAAAGCAGAAAAAGGATAAAAGGGGACTCTGCGAAATTCTATTTGAAATCCAGGGCTCCCTTCTCTGGCGATGGCAATCTGAGAGAGAGAGAGAGAGAGAGAGAGAGAGAGAGAGAGACCTTGCTTATATATGGATTTGCTGTGGATTTGCGATTTGGTGTGCGGTGCTGAAGCGAGGTGAGAAGGGTTAAATAAAGAGGAGGAGTAAGGGCGAGATGTGGCTGTGGTTCGCCGGAGTTTTTGCCGGTGATATTTTGTTGTGGCCTCAATTTAATGGCTTTGCTCTGCATGTGGACACGATCACGGACTATGTCAAATTTTCTTTGCTTTCCTATTAGGATTAGGGCAACTTTTTAAACCTAATTTTTTCAATTTTCAATAAATAAATACCAAATCGTTCTAAACTCCAATTACTCCTATATTGTGTCCAACAACAATAATAAATCTTTACAAACCTACTACTACTATTTATGGACTCCACATATTTTCTTTTCATTATATTATTTATTTAAATTTTTATCTTAAATATATTCAGAAAAAACAAGTAGATGTGGGTCCCGCTAGATGTAAAAGAATAATTAAATTAAAAAAAAAAGTGGACATGGGTCCCACGAGACGAGGCTTATGGAATGTTTGTCTAAACGAACCTTCTTGTTTGTATTTCCAAACCTCAAATCTCTTCCTCTCCCTTATATATAATTCTTAAACATAAAAAAATAAATAAATAAATAAATAAATAAATAGGTCTGCATTACCATAAATATATTTATAATTTATAACTATTTTAAATTTATTAATTGTATTTTAATATCATTTTTTATTATAACTATTGAATTATAAAAATATTTTAAAAAGTTGATAAACTCATGTATTTGTTATCGGGTTTACCTTTATAGTATATCAAATTAATCATGTTATGTCTTGCATTTATAATATATCAAATTAATCCCTTATGATGAATTTCGATTTGACATCCATATTGTATATGTTAAAATTATTTATTAATATTAATTAGAAAAATAAAATTATTTCTCAATTAATATATTTATGTTTAAAGTATTTATATGTTATAAATTTTAAGTTACAAAATTATTATAATATAACACTGGTAAGTCGTACGAGTAATAATTGTTATTCTATATAATAATATATATTTTTCTATAAAAAAGTGTTTAATTTTAAAGCACTTTTATTCACTAGTTTTAAATTTTTAGAAAAAAAAAAATTTAAACAAGCACTCGTGTAATACATGAGTGTTGTACTAGTTATTATAATTATAAACCTCAATGTTTTTGTTTTCAAATTTTATTCAAAACTCATTATTAAAAATATTATTATGTATACTATTAAGGCAACCCACAATAGTTCTTTTTTTCTTTAAATCTTCATTTAAAAATTCATTTAAAATATAATATTTCTAATTAAACATCTCTGTGGTAATTAAAAAAAAATATATGAAAATCATATATATTATTGAGATGTAGGTTTAAGATAATTTTTATAATAAAATATATATCATGGGAAAAAAATTATAAAAATAAAAATCATATATTATTGCACAGTTTTTTATACACAACATTTGTATCGTGAATGATGATTCTCTAAGTGGCACTAGTTGATTTTATAGGCCGAATCAACACCCAACTTGGTACTACCTCCTGTTCATTATAAATGTCGTTTTGACTTTTGTGATTCATCCATTTTATTATGTATCTAGACATTAATATGTCTAGATACATAACAAAATGGATGAATCAAAAAAATCAAAACGACATTTATAATGAATAAGAGGGAGTAGTTTTTAATACCATACATTGAACCCTCATTGAAATCGTCGGTGAAAGTGAAATAATTAACCGATGAAATAACACTAACAATCTGATATTTCTACAAATAATAAATGTGTGTAAGCACGCTAATATAAATTCGTGTAATATAATTTGATTATAAATATAGTAATCTATAAATAAATTCCACATAATAAAAAATATGATTTCAAGAACTTTTTTGTAAGTATGAGATTCGGTTGTCCTTTGAAATATTAGAACAATTTGGAGCTTGATCATTGGCTTTTTTTTTTTTCCTTTTTATGTCCTCGATGAGTCTCCATAGTTTGGTCATTTTGTTGTGCCAATAACAAAAACTTTTGATATGAGTGTTGTACTTATGTGTGCTCTTTGTTTAGTATGAATTTAACTTTTGTTTTCTTGTTTATACTGAATTTAAATTTGTGGATTTTGGCCAAAATTAGAAATATTAATTCGTGATTTGTTTCATATTTCACTGAGAAATTACGTATAAAAGACACGTGGCGTAGAATAATTGGTGCAGAACGATAATGACGATAGTTGCGATAGCCGCCTCTGACATACGCAAACTGTGTGTGTATGGACGGGCAGGTCTGGGCAGACAACTCATCATATTTGGGCAGCTCCTAGGTCAGGTATCTCACCTCTATATATATATGGGTGAGCTTTCCTTGTTGAACACGATTTATCCATTTTTTTCACTCTTGAGAATTAAGTGAAACAAACACTAACTTAAGCGTCAGAGGCTTTTCACAGGAAAACCCCTCCGGTGTGAGAGTTCTTTACAGGTACGCGGCGTTCTACCGGCGAGGAGGAAGAAGGTGAACCGATTTCTAGCTGGTCGGAGAGTTTTGCGTTACCATTTGGCGCCGTCTGTGGGACGTTCGTTCGAGTAGTGGTGTGCTAAGGCTATTTCGGTTTGGTGGCTATGGCAGAGGGAATTCCCAGAATCAATTTGCAACAGTCATTAGACGTGGCTTAGACGATGACGGTCGTTTGGAAAAGACCCTCCTCTGGGTTTCTCTGGACCTTTGCAAACGTCGGTGACCCAACACCTGCTCTTCAAGGGTTAGGGGCTCCATCGGCGGTCCCCGTGATGGATATAGGCTCGAGTCATGATCAGGAGACTCGGGCTACACAGGCGATGGCGACTCCAACACCAGTGCACCAATATCGTGTTGGTGCTCAGCCGTTAGGGGCGTTGGCGCAGGTGGCGGTGCCGCCGAAAGAGGAGCAACAACCTAGTCAATAGGTGGCGAGGATGACCAGGCAGGAAATGGAGCAAATGATGGCCAACACGACAGCACAAGAGGTGCCACATGTGACGAATCAAACTTCTTAAGCTGCTACCGCGCCGACGACTGTGGTGTGAGGCAGTCCCCGACGAGGAGGACGCTCAAGCTATGGAAGGGAGGGGGCTGGGCAAGATCGAGAAGTGGAGAGGATTGCGGAGGAGCTGCGTCAGTTGCAGGTCAAGGTGGATGGACGAACAGAGAGACGTGCTCGAGGACACCCGTTCTCGAGGGAGATATTGACAGCCCCTTTACCAGTAAATTTCAGGGAGACAAACCTAGCATTTGACGGGTCGTCCGACCCGTCGATGCATGTGAGGACATTTAAGAATATGGTGATTTTGCACGTTTACTCTGACCCGAATAGTTGCAGGGCTTTCTTGTCGTCTTTGAGGGGTGGTGCGCTCGATTGGTTCCATCACCTCCCCCCATGGTCGATTAAAGATTTGGAGGACTTCGCTGATAAATTGACAAATCAGTATTCGAGCGCGGAAGCTCAAGAGAAGACGTACTTGACTTTGATGGCGATGAAGCTATGAAAGAATGAGTCACTGCGAAAATATGATGCACGATATAATCAGACGTGCTTAGATATCCCAACTGCCACGGACGAGTTTAGGCAGGCGTGTCGATAAGTTGGAAACAGAGTTCACTAAGTTGGGATGATGAGGTGCTGAAGAGATGCAAGAAGTATATCAACCTCGAGGAGATGGAAGCGGAGTTCACTAAGTTGGAAGAGATGATCCGCATGGAGGCGAAGAAAAGGAAGACAAACTCGCCTAAGAGAGGATAACCAAGGAGATCGCCCATGAAGGAGGGGCGTGGTAGGCAGGGTCGAGGGAGTGAGGATAGATGAAGGACGACCTATTGCAGGGGGAAAGAAGTTCATAATTGCACTTTATAAACTTGTTTACGATGCATTGTTTATAAACTAAATTCGCACTACGTCTGAACTAAATGTGCATTTGCATGAACTAAATATGCACGGAAAATATGCAATTAAATGTGCATTTTATATAATTAATTGAAATATAGTTATTATCTATTATTATTTAATAAAATTTAATTGATTAGCATGAGTCTAGATTTACACAAGTAAATAGCTATGATTAGACATCACATTAACTAAATATGTACTTTGATGATCTAAATATGCATTCTGTATGAATTAAATATGCATCATGAATTATTTTTTTTTTTTTTTTTTCGAAATATAAAACTCAAATTGGAACAACGTTCGAATACTCATACACATATATTCACAAATTTAAAAATAAACTCATTAATTAATAACTTATCAAATAAGAAATGGGTAAATATGAAATTCGGTAAACTCTAAAATATTATACCTACACATACTAAGTATATATTAAATTATTATAAATCGTGAAGTGTAAAATACATTGATATAAATTAATCTTAATATTATTACGTATCATGTATATATTTAATCTATGCTTCAAACCGGGCAATTATTTTTAGTGGATATAAACACCCACGTTTCATTTAAAAGGG